GTTTCGAACCTATTTAGAACAGTTCCTCAGAGTGATTCTTGCAAATTTGAACAGTAACACAAACACAGGTAAGTCGAAGATAGATGAAAATTCATTTGACAAAAGTTTATCAAGGAATAAATGAGAACATAAACAATTGCGTATATGCGAATCGGTTTACGACATAAATTTCCTAACGTATGAACACAAAAAATGTATACATATCATTTTGAAATTGAATTTAGGAACGATATATAAGTACGCGTATTTCTTCACATAGAAGGTATGAAATTCTATATTTGGGTACCGATTGAAAAGATGGACGTGGACTGTATAAAATATAAGGCGAACGTTCAAATTTCGCGGGCTACGAACATTCGAATACCAATTTTTTTTGTTGATACATCTGGAACATATTTACATAGTTTCAGCTGTTAACCATGTTCAGTTTGTTGGTAAGAGGCATAAAAGATAGAACGGTTTTGGGTGTTCGGGGATTTTCTGCTATCAAAAATATTGATCAAATAATTTGCAGAAAAACTTGAAATGTTGACAGTGACATACAGTGATAGGGCATACAGTGATAGGGTGTCCTAAAATTCTTAGTCCAGCCGCTTCCTTGGCTGAAGAGTCGTCAATGCGATTACCTTCACTACTGTCGTGCCCTTTAACCCATCTCAGGATAATATTATTATCTACCGAGACTTTGGCTAAATCTTGGTGGCACTCTAGTACTAGCCCTGAGGTAACACGTTGTCTGTTCAAGGCTAATAGGGCTGCTGTCAGTGCAGATTATGTTTTTGCTAGAAATTCCATTCCTGGTTATTTCTTTCGTGACGATTGAGATACCAAATGTCCACAATATCGAATGACTCAAATTTCAAATATAATCGACTAACAAGGTCGCGAAGCTGAGGTTTTTGCAATAAGCAGCGGACTTACTCAGATTATAAATGAGCCAATCAGGATTTCTGGCCGTGATGGAGACTGCGCTAGTCTTCTGGATCTATATCTAACAACTAATCCAGAAATTTACACAGTCACCTTAAGGTCTCCATTGGAATCTCCTGACTACAAACTCATTTCAGTGTTTAGTGAATTACCGATAAATGTTGGAGAACAATCTAAGTTCCGCAAAGTTTGGCATAACAGATCTGCTGAGTGGGAGGATCTTCAAGACCATTTCCAATATTTCCCCTGGCTAGATGTTTGTTTGCATATGCAGGGTTGCATATATTCCTTTTTCAATAAAACGAACTCCTAACGGCAAACCTTGGTTAAACAAAAATTGCGAGCAATCTTTTACCTCCAAAAATCTCGCCTACCGGCAGTGGCGCAGTGGTCAAAAATTTCGAAAAGTGGGTGCCGCACGATTTGAACGATCGACAGAAATTGTCATGTTTCGAGGTCTGTTCTTCTTTGCTGCTTTCGCGCAATCTGAGCATTCGAAACAAATTCAACCCGTGGGATCTCCAAATCTGCATCCAAATCAAGCATTTCGTGACACAAAATCCAACGGAGAATACATTATGTGCGGAGATAGAAAAGATGAAGGGAATTTACGGCGCGCAAGAATCTCAAACTGTGAAGCCGACTGAAACAGGTAATTCCCTGAGGACCAATATAAGGACTACTTGCACTAGTTATGGCCAAGTCGGTTAATTCCCCGTACTTTATTGCTACAGTTTCAACTTTACACCTTTATCATGAAGACGATCTGGACACCTCCAGGAAATACGCAATTAATTCCGCATCGCTGAATTTAACCGAGTTCTATGAGACGGCGGGTTTACCTAAATATTCGCAATATCTGCGGAACTTATTGAAGCGAATTGTTTGCGGAGGATCCGGAGTCCTAACGGCGTTTCAACCAAAAATAGTTCTGTCATTGTTCTCTATCAAATAACGCTCGAGTAACTTTTTTATGCAAGCCGCAAGATGCATCTTCTGTTGGAAAAGAGAAAAAAATTAATGCCGTTCTATGGAGCTGTACAGGATATTTGATTTTTCTGAAACTAAGGAAACATATTCCGTGAATGTTTGGCTTTCTACCTCTCCACCAGTATATTCATACAAAAATATGTGGAAAACTTTTGAAGAAAGAATGTAATTAAATCCAATAGAAGTATGAAAATTATAATGGAGAACTTTATACAAGTGTAGAAAGGGCAAACTTGTTAGTTTACCCCGATTTTTCTGCGTAAAATCGCAGAAAAATGCTCTATTTATCAGTAACAATTACAACGTATTTCGCAATTTTGCCTTTCAAAAAATTTTCTAAGAAATAAAACAATACTTATCTTAACGTTTCGGAGGCCAAAATCTGCCTCCGTCTTCAGAAATGGACAGAAATTCAAATATATATGCACTAATTTCTTTGCTGATTTGCTGATTATTTATTTCTCAACTTATTCGACATCTGTCAAGGAAGTTGTACTACACTAAATACTTTCTTCACCTCTTCGGGACTTTCTCACAGCACTGTATATAATGGACGTGTAACTGATCGCTGTCCTGTAAATTTAGGATGTAATCTTCTGGGAAACAATAGAAATAATTTAAGTTAACGTTGAAATTCAATTTTTCGAATAACCTACAAAAATTGTGCTTGGATGATGAATGTTTCAAGTGAATGTACGGTTTTTTTTAACAATAATTGAAAATATGTTTGCTGATCTGATACCAAAAATACATCACAAGTTGCAACCCAGTAGTAAAGAACAGACTCCCAGACAGCACAAGGGCATTCGATGGATTTTCACTGGATATCCAGTTTATGTCCAAAATGTATCTCATGAATGTCCATGGAATATCTACTGTGGGATATCTTATGGACATCCATTTCGACCATTTCACGTCTGAGGATATTCCGACACAAATTGGACATGGATTGGATTTCCAAAAGATATCTCGTGTTGTCTGGGCTAAAATATCAAAAGTTATAAAAGAATAAACATAACCACGTCACAAAAACCTCAATAAATCAATACAAAAGATGCTGTATATTTTTCATGTTCAGTCATGATCTTGAACATATTTTGCAATCTAATGTAAACAGATGCATCAAAGCAAGGTAGGCCTACAGTCAAGTTTAAATAATCTGTTGTTTATATACTTCAAATATTCCAACCCACATATTGTTCGTAGAATTTAATCCACATATTATAATTTGAATTTGGTTGTCCTACAAATAATACTTGTAATTCAATATTAGTAGTTATGACCTGCATTACACACCTGCAAAGTTCATCCACATGCTCCACTGGAGATCGTAAAGTTATTCTCACTTTGTCAGAAGATTTCAGAAACAATATTTTCAGACAAACACGAGTTTTCAAATTCTCTACCTCACACAAATATCAGATTAAACTTTGGACTCTGCTTCGAATTCGACTATCAGTCTAGTATTTCGAAAGATTTTTTGTAATAGAAACAAATGTAGTTTCTTGTACCAAATCTCCTTTGAACATTTTCTTTTTTTCCCCTGTTTTACACCGTCATCTTGTAGCACTGTTCCTTTCGAATATGTGGAAGAAGAATTCAGGCTAATAATATTGGCAGCAATGTCTCGTCAAAAGAAAGACCAAAAGAAGAAATTGAATTAACCTATAAAATTGTTGTTCAACACAATTTAACCTCATTTCGTGTTTTATTTTTTCGAGTTGTTAGATTTAAATCACCAAATGGCTAAAATAGATTCAACAAAAGGTAGTGAAACAAAAAAAAGTAGAAAGAAAAATAAAGGTGTAATATCGTTTGACGAGGAAACTGTAAAGAAAGAAGATGCTGTTGAAGTAATGGAAAGGAATACTGGTGACAAAAATTATGGTTTTGGAAAAAGCCACATCGAACCCAATTCAGACGATATGAAGCAGGAAACACAACGGAAAAAACAGAAAAAATGCAAGGTAGCTAGTGATGCTGATAATGTGCCACATCAGATGAAAGAAGAAATACCACATTCTGAGATTTCCGAGACGGAAAACTTAGATCAGTCAAATGGTTCAGTTACCAAAATGAAAAAAAAGAAAAGGAACCGTGATGCAGAGGCCAACGGTGTAACAAACGAAAACGGGAAAGATCAACCAAAAAAAATCAAGTTATCTGATGAAGTAGAACCAAATGCAGGAGATAATCTTAAAAGTCTGGAAGTTGACCTCAAAAAAGACTCTAAAAGATCTCAAAAAAAGCTCAAACATGAGAAACTCCTCGCCGAAAAGAAATTGAAAGCTGAGGTGGCTACCCAGGAATCCGTTTTGAATTACTTATCGAAATGGAAACATTGTCGTCAGGAATGGAAATTCGAAAAATTGAAACAAATATGGTTATCACAAAATATGCTTGATTGCTCAAAGATTCCCAATGAATTTTGGGAAACTGTGGTGGAATATTTCACTAGTTCTAAGGGATTCATCAGGAAACTAGTGTTGAGGGATGCACTGAAGGTCATTGAGGACGAAGAGAAGTTGGAAGATGATAATGTAAGCGAAGACCAACGGACAAAAATACAGAGAGCCCGGGATATAGTACAGAATTTACAAGAGTGATTTGATCAATTCAAGAAGTGTATTGAGAATAGATGATGATAATATGATAGTAGAGCAGAGACTTGTAAGTGTTCCATATCATTACATTGACGTTTAAATAATTGAAATAAACAAATTTGGCTGAATTTCATGTCAAGTAATGGAGATTTAAAATGGTGCATTTTTTGTTAATATGAAACCTGGAATTGTTTTGGTATGATTATTTGTCTCTTACCTAATTTAAGTAGGTATTTTGATGTTTATTTTAAATATTTATATGTGAATGACTTTTATCATTAAACATTTTTTTGTTATGTTATCTCCTCATTTAATCTCAACAATGTTAAGATTGAAGAAAAATCAATGTACTAGTTAAAGGATGATGTGAATACACTTTTTAAGAAAATCAAAGTTGTTCTAAACATTCAATATTGATATTGTTCCACAAACAGTTGGAAAATATAGAAAATTATAAAATATCAAGAANAGGCTCATGAAAGGTTATAAAGATGGTCAGTAACTATATAGAACTTTTTATTTGAAATTACAGTGTATAATTTATATGAGTATACAATAAATTGCTTCTTATCTTAATCTAGGCATATGAGTTTTCAATCATGCAGTTTTTGATCAAACATGAAAACACCCAGTCCCTCTCCCACTCGTTTCAGATTTGTAATATGATCGCCAATTTCCTTAATTGCATCGACTTGTTCCTGCAGGTAGTGTGTCTCGAGGAAGTCACACAAATTTGCATCTTTATGGTCTGAGGCAACGCTGTGTAAAGTGAGTAAACGCTGAAAAAAATTGACATCTTCATCACTACTTTTCATTATTCAAAATGACTTTAAAAAGTAACCATTTTTTTATTATTCATTTCGTTAATTAAAAAAAGATCTTGCATAATTACTAACATAACTGAATTGTCTAGTTTGAATTGATAGGTTCTTAAATGGAAATAGTTGTTTTTATTTTATGAATTTCATAGTGCTCACTCTTTAGTAGTAGGTGATGGCACACGTTCTATCCATAATCAAATCAAAATAATATATTGTGCTGCAATAAAAGCCCTAAAAAGTCCTTTATTCACATTCACAATTATTTTTCAAAACAAAAACAACTCCATCTTTATACAGAAAAAAGTGGGAATCTTCCAAAGAAAGTAATTGATTTCAAAGTAAACTCATGTATAGGTCATGCGAAGCGGAAACTTTCAGACACAAACTAGAAGAAAAAGACTTTGAATTATATATAAACATATAACATATAAACATTGAATTACACAAAAGTGTTCCATGTAAGTCAAGTATTACTTCTTTCATATGTGACATTGAGTAGCAATCCTGTGAATGGTACCTATCTGAATCAAATCCATAACGAAAGTTTGGAGTAGGAATAACAAAAATTGTTTTTGTATAATTCAATGTTCATATACAAATAGTTGTTTCTAAAGCATTTTTTATGTAATTCAATGTTTGTATAAAAGTTGTGTTTCGAGAGGTCTGAAAGTTACTTCTTTGCATGATCTTCACATCTTTATTGAAAGTTTATTTTGATTTTTTTTTTGTATAGAAATGGAGAAGTAGAAAGCCAAAAAACCTTTCTTTCCCAAAAATATATCTCTCCCAAAAATATACCCCTTTCAATTTAAAAACAACTCCAATTTCAACAACTGCTAAAGGTTTTTTTCTCAAACGAGAGATAACAAAAAAATATAATTTTGAGTTGGATTCTGAGGCAAGGGGAAAAATATATACTCAAAACAAATATTTTCAAAATAGCATCGAATATGAAAAAGTAAAATAATAAACTGTCACCATAAATTATCGCTAATCAAAACGTGTTCTCTTATTTAATGATAATTCAGTGTACTTTTGTTTCAAAAGTGTTTTAATTTATTTTGTTTGATAATAGTAAAAATGCTTTAATATTGTCAATAGTTTCCACAGTGAGATCACTTTTATGATTAGAATGCAAAATTGAAAAAATATTTCTTTTACATTCTTTCACTTCTGTAATTTTGTTACTGAATTTCATAATTTTTGAAATTTCTCCCATCTTGAAAAAGGCGGCAAAATTTTAATTCCTGATCTTTTACGTCAGCTACATCTGATAAAATATTTGTGAAAACATGAACAACTGTGCAGTTGTACAGTTATAAGACTTGGTAGGACTGTTTAATAGGTTGGAATTGCTTGTGAGTAAATATAGGTACTCTTCACTTGATTACATAAATGTTTTGTACTAGGTCAAATTTTGTTATATAAATTTCAAAAATCAAATTTGTTTTACTATATATTTAAGAAGTACATTGATTACTGTCTTCACTTTTCCAACATCTTAATTTCGGCATTACTGAGACTTAGTCGTTGTCTTCGCAGTCAACACATATACCACTGAAGATGTCCACCGCAGTAGCAGACAAAACATTTAGAACAAAAGTTCCATTCTATCACGTTCAACCACCTAAATTTTATTCTCTCATTTTTTAAATAACAAATACTGTCAATTGACATATTTGATAACAAGTGTAGCCCACAAAGCACGTGCGTCAAAATAAAAAAAAAATCTCTGAGATCTCAAAAAAAAAAAGCCGTATACCCCCAAAAAGAAAAGGTGTAAAAGAAAAATATCCCCAGACGAGAGAAAAAAATACACAATATAGGGGACAAAACAAAACTGTATATCTAGAGAGATATAAAAACACGATACACAAAAACACAAGAGGCAAAAGACACACGCCTATCAGAAAACAACTACTCCACTGGCAAATACCACGAACGGCTTTGAATTATATCCGACAGATGTCAGTGCAGGAATCTTTACAGAAAATTTCCTGCATATGCAATTGGCAATACAACTGAAAGAGTCGACCTTCAATTTTGGAACGGGCAGACTTGCAGACCGGTTTCGGGCTCCTTAGCCACTCGTCAGTGCAAAATAGTACCATCATCGACCTAAAATCAATGATATTCCATAATTGAAAATCGAAATTCTTTCAGAGTATTTCATTCCTCGTCTTAAGTTAAGTTTCAGTTGTATTGCCAATTGCATATGCAGGAAATTTTCTGTGAAGGTTCCTGCACTGACGCCTGTCGGATATAATCCAACGCCGTTCGTGGTATTAGCCAGAGTAGTAGTTGTTTTCTGATAGGCGTCAGTCCATTCAACCTACTGTGTAGGTATATCCGAGACGGGCTTGAACATTCAAAGTTCATTTCTTTAGATTTGTTTACTGCCCGTCTTCAAGCATAGCCCACTGACTAATAAGAAAGTTTATTGGAAGATGTAAAAGTTCGATTTATTTCAAATACACAACACTCTTTTCCGATTTCTCTGGGCTACTGAGAATCTTTAACGCTAACTCACCTCATTAACTTCCTTCTCTAATTTGAGAGCATCAATCATGGCAGCTTGAGCTGACTCCCACTCTTGCTTTTCTGGTGCCTTAATGTCTTTCAAAATCAAACGTCCTCCTCTTTTGTTCAAGTATTCCATCAGTTTGTAAGCATGCTCTCTTTCTTCTTCTGATGCCTCTTTAAAATATTTGTGGAAACCCATCAGAGCTACGTCGTCTCTGTAGAAGTGGTATGCCTAAAGATAAATGGATATTTCGTGAAGTTTTCATGGAGTCACATGGTGCAGATTACTCCAAAGACCAAAAGTATTGAATTCATGATCCTTTTCGAGACCTTGCTGTTTTGATATGGTAGAGATCTCATTAGTGGTACTACTCAGGTCAAGAATATTACATTTCTGTACTCAACAAAAAAAAACCTGAGTAGGAAAAGACGGTGACACCTACCATTGAGACGCCATCTTTGGGATTGACAGAAAAACCAAACCATATCAAATATAAACGGGCTCCCAAATTTGGTCCTTAAAGTCAAAAATTCTGTCTTCCTCTGCAGCTTTCACTTCAACATTACTGTGGTTCTCTGGGAACCTCGAGTATCTTTGAGTTGTCTATCGATCCTACTAATCCAGTTATCACAGTCTTCTTAAATTTCAAAAGAATCGACAAACGAGTAGAAGTGATGAAGCGTTATCGGCACTAGTTTACTGCCAAGAAACAGTTCTCACTGATAAAGTTATATTTTGAATATATCACTAGCTGACCCAGCAAACGTTGTTTCGCCACATATATTTTTTCTAGGGTAGAAAATAATAACCAACTCATTGTAAGTGTGTGTGTGTGTGTCAACAACAACACTCACAAATAATATAAATACTTTATTCCGTTAGTCCACGTTTAGCTAACACAAACAAACTAGATGGTTTGCCCACTCGAGAGCATGACATGTATGTCCGTGTGTGCTCAAATCCAAGCCACAAACGGACATTGTTTGGCCTTGGGGCTTATTAATAGTAATTGCAAATGCCAATCTATTTATAAATTGCACACGTTTGAAATGACTTGGCACATCTGTAGGTGTAATAGGGATTCGTGATATTAATATATTTTTACTTCGGAACTTGCCAATTCGACAAAGTTTTCTCATTAATTTATCAATGACTAATCGCGTGCCGTTGTACAGTCGTGTTACAGTTACAACCTTCAGTTGTAAATTATGCGGTGGCATGCCTAACAAATTTAATAAGTTCAAAAACTCTGTTGGACAAATCACAGCTTCGGTGGTATCACAAAATGTATCTACGCTCGATGGTTAAACAATAATAGTGGCCCAAAACTGTGTAGGGAGTGAGAGAAGGATGGGTGTGTGACAGAGATTGGAGACCAGCTTCGTTCTCATCCCTAACTGCGTGCTGTTAACTGATTGTGAGAATTGAACCCGTAGACGCCTGGCGGAAATAACTGATCTATGATCAAGGTTAAAAATTATTAAATTACTAAAATGGCTATTGAAAAATGGGGATTGGTGATACAAACGTTAAAACTGAGGGTCATATGTAGTTTTTAATGTCACATAGAAAAGAAAAAGAATAAAACATTTTTTCTTCAAAAAAATGTTCGGGTGGAGCTCCCTTACAGTCTTGACAAAATATTCGAATATATGTAAAAACATTAATTACTTGAAATGATACTCATATGAATATTTTCAGTTTGCCACCAGTTGCCATTATAATGAAGCAAAAACCATTTTATTTTCAGCTAATGTATTCTCTCTGTTCATGATATGTCAGAGCACTACTGGGAAAAGTTCAGAATGGGAAATAATAGCTCTATACTTTGAGTGAATGGGCATTTTTTTGAGGTTCAGTATGATTAATTGTTTTATTCACCAAGCCATCGCAGACAATACTGAAAAGTACTTTGAATAAATATATTATAGGTAAAGCAATGTTTTTATTAGATATTGTGAATTTTCTTGTGGGTTGGAACAGTGTATTTTGCTTGAAATTCAAAAATAAAAGTGGATGTATCTCCCTAAAATTTTGTGTAAAACCATAATTTCTCGACCTGAATAACTTCTCTCGAGTAACATTTTGACATATGAACATAAAAGTTACAGTATCTATCCTCACAGATATTATTCAGACAACATAATTATTTTTAAACTTTTATCAAGCATGATTCATTTGAAGAAGATAATAACAGTATAATTGCTTATATTTTAGCAAAACAATCAACAATTTGTTTTGATAACTTGAAAATATTGAATTTGTCTTTTTATCTAAATTTAAAACAGATATAAATTAATTGACTGATGGAGAAAATAAGTAAATGAGAGTAATTCCTCAATGAATTATCATCAGAATAGAAAATTCCAGACCTCTTGCTTTGAAGACTAAGTAGTAGAAACTCATCAAATCGAACACCAGAAATGCTGTTAACATTTATCTTTCCTTAATATTGATATAATAATTCAATTATAGGTAAATTGGAATCACAAAACTCACAACTTGGTTAATGTTGCTGGTACCGTTAAAATAGTGGGCCAAATTACCTTTGATGGTGAGGAACTGTCTCTTTAGTAAAAAAACTTTTCTGTTCTATTATTCTGAAATAAGTGTTTATTAATCAAGAGAAAGAAATGGACAAAGAATTTGCATCAAATTTTGTGTAAAAAAGGAATTTAGCACTCAAAAAACACTTGATATGTTGACAGTGACATACGGTGATTGTACTTTGAATCAAAGTACAATCACAAAGCTTTTCACAAGTCAGAAGATGTGAATGACGACGCTCGCCCTGGACGGCAAATGTTGAGGAAGTGACGAAACTTGTTATGGTGAATCGTCGAATCATAGAAGTTGCTGAGGATGTCCACATATCGGTTGGCTCATGTCATGCAATTTTTTCGTAAATTTCAGGCATGAAGCCAGTGGCAGCGAAGTTAGTTCCAAAATTGCTGAATTTTGCCCATAAAACCGTCGCATGAGCATCGCTCAGGAATTGTTGAAAAACGTCAACGGCGGTCCATATTTTCTAAAAAGGTCATACCTGATGAATCATAAGTATATGAGAGCCGGGAAGAACCATGACCAAAAAAACCAAGCCAGGTTCGATCAAATGTCAAGGTTTAGCTCACTGTTTTCTTCGATTACTGTGGCATAGTGCATCAGGAGTTCTTGACACATGGTCACACGGTCAATTAGGTGTATTATCTTGAAGTTATACACCGCTTGCAAGGAGCAATACGAAGCAAACACAATTAATGGCTTTGGTATCACGATAATGCACCTGCTAACTCGTCATTGTTTGTTCACAATTTTTTGGACAAAAACAAAACTGTTATCATGCCTCAGCCACCGTATTCACCAGATTTTGCCCTTTGCGACTTTTTTCTGTAACCAATATTGAAGAGTCCCATGAAAAGGCGGCGTTTTGTGATGATTGAAGAGATAACACCGGAATCGCTGGAAAAACTCAAGGACATATCGAAAAATGCATATCAGAACTGCTTGGAAGATTGAAAAAACGTTATGTCTGAAAGGGACTACTTTGAAGGGGACAAAACAGAATGTATTTGAGGAATTCTCCTTATTTTTTGAACAGACCACGAGCTCTCTCCTAAAAAATTATTATTTTTCTATATCAAAATACCCAACTGAATGTTAGTGACGATGTATCATCATGTCTATTTTGAATATTGAATCAAAGATGTCATGAAATATCAAAACACAAAAAGCAAAGTATACACAATTGAAAAAAGGATTGTTCTAACAGTAAACATATTATATTAGTTGCGACTCTCTCTTTGTCCCATGGAAATAATTGAAAGAGAGAAATGTTAAAATTTTTATAATTTAACCATCAAGTTTCCACACGATTGTAAATGAAAAATATAACTCATCAAAATACTTATATGCCTTAATCATTCTTAGATGTTATTTCTCCAAAAAGTAAATGTTATATTTCAACAAAAAACACTGCAAGTAAACAAATATTAAAATATATTTACCATGGCCATGTAGACATAGCTGGCATTCAGCTCAACATTAATTTGATCGTTAATCGCATTCTCGCAATCTTTTTCAAAATTCTGCCGCACTTGGGAGGTCATCTTAGTCGATTAATTGATTTTCGTTGATGAATTGACAACAGATACACTTCAGTCGAACCTGTAATTGACTATTCCAGTTATAGAACTGTCCTAACACCTCTGCTATGTCGACTTTGTTTATTATTGATTGACCCCAACTGAATCACGCACTTCGAATGCAGGTTGCAATGTGATGCAAATTGTGTATCAAAACATCACGGCGGCGTAACTAGCAATTGCGCATCCGTCCGAAATATCGACTTTTAGCACGGTGTACTAGGTGTGAAATTCCAATGGAAGGTTAGCATGGTTGAAGACAAAAAGAAAGGTCGTGTTTTTTTGTTTGAAACAGTTCATTTTAATTTGTTTTTACTGAACGAAGTTGCTGAACACGGTTTTTGGGGTACTTATCTATACAGGGCGCCAATCGAAAACAGTCATATTCTATAAAAACCAAAACCTTGGACCAAAATTTTGAAACGGCACTATAGTTTGGCATGACTTTTGTGCCAGATATATCGTTTGAATAATTTTTAACTGCACTTATGATACGATATATTTCAGTGTGTTCTCCAACATTAATGATCTTCAGTTTTCATTGTAAATAACTTTAGGAAGGTTAATATTGTTCTGTCCATATACGCTTCTCTTGTCTCTAAGCTTTATTTTATAGCTTGTATTTGTTAATTTAATGTCCCGTATACACGTTTTACTTTACTAGACTTTGCAAATAAGATGTTTAATTTTGGGAAAATAAAGCATATTTTGAATTAATTTGATTTTCAATTTGCTATGATACTCGTCTTATTTGTCTTCATTAAATTGTACATGTCCTATTACCTAATACGGATCGTATATCTCGGATAAATCGTAAAGCTAATGTATATTCACCTCCATAAATAATATAGCAACGGTCTGTCTGTTCTATGTTTCGGTAACCAACTGTCGCCTCCCTACGAACGAAAACTCTCAAAAGTCAAAACTTGGGCGAGCTAAGGACTAACGAGATCTTGCCTTCCAACGTATAATTCCTAACACGGGCTGGACGATAGGAAGTGAAAATCGATCGCCCGGCCTTGCGGCTTGAACCACCCGTTCACACAGCGGTCGATTGGTTAAAGTGTTCAAGCCTTTCAACCAAAAACTGCTTCCGTAATTAGGGGGAGGCCAGTCTTGCTAAAATATCAGATTTTCTTCAAGGTAACATTCATCGTTTTTCATATTTTTGGTAGTGGTCTCTAGGGACAACGATAAAGTGAAATCACAACTCAGGGAAGAGAGTGGAATTTAGTTGCGTGAAGCCCATAACCGTAGTTGTTTGCGATATGTTTTCATTCAAAGACAACTTTTTAAAGTTTTTTAAAAGCTGTTTGGACTCAATGTTGTACCGGAAACACTTTAAAGTAAGTTTCAGATCATTTGGGAACTTTGCTATCTTCTCTTGCTGTCGGTGAGTTTATAGGGTTTCCTCTGTTGAAATATTTGGTTGAAAGAAGTAGTTCAAAAGGGATTGAACGCTTGATTGGGAGCTGTAGGTCCTAAAAATTATCTGGTACCACACTCTCTGTATGTTCAGATATTGTTCTTCCTTCGAATAATCTTCCAATAATAGTGGGTGAAGTTGGAGACAACATAAATGTGCAAAAAAACCACTATCTGATTGAACTCTTCGATTTGCTCAATATTATAGGTACTTCAGTAAATTTTCTATAGATTCAGCTTCATTTATTTTTTATATTGTGGAAGGGTAAAGACCCGGAAAGACAGCAAGACACAATGAAACTGCTTGTTGTCTTCGAACATATGCATTGGCATATATATGATATATGATATTGGCAAACATTTTTTTCAAATAATTTTTCATATATTCATTTGGATTAGTTCCACAAATGTAGCAATCCCATATCCTTAATTCCTATGTTATCTTATTTAGAGCCTGGATGATCTAAAACGGATGTTCTTTCAACTGTGCTGACTATCGCAATTCAGCGATATTGTTCATCATAACAATTTTCGAAGCCCCCAACGTAGAAGTTGTTGACTCATTTGATCCCCAAGTGTTTTTATGTTTCAACCAAACAATGATAAATCTACATCCTTCTTTTATTCAACAATAAACAGAATATCGGATTACAAGAGAAAAAGTTTTTGGTTATCTTTGTTTTGCTGATATAAATACAGTTCTGAGATATTTTACATAATTACAAACATATTTGATTTCATTGGAAAATGACGTATGCAATATTCTTCCGACTGACAAAAACTAAGCAATTATGAATATTTCCTAAACGAAGTCAATTACGTAATTCTCCAGCATTCAGCAACACCACTACTGAAGCCACTTTTGCGTTGTTTCAACACACATATATTTCAAAGTTCTACATGAAAGATGTCTTCATATCAAGTACGGGGAAATTATTCAACTCAGTCTGATCGTTCATTAGATTTTTGTATTTAATAATTTCCACATTTTCCTGAAAGTCAAGTCAAACCTCCCTTCTGGAAATGAAGAATTTTAAATTCAAGATCAAACTCATGTCTCACAGGAGGTGAGCAGCATACGGGAAATTATTTTTCCATTCTGAAAACTGTCTTTACGTTCTTTTGTTCGTGCTTCAAATGTTCTGCCAGTTTGATCCATGTGTCTTTGTTATTTTGAATATGCATGCTCAAGTTATTATTGGTTTTAAACACTTGATTCACATGTTCATTTTTCAGGAAATAAGAAATATTCAAACTAGGTTGGCCCATATATGTTAACGTTTTATAATTTTTCGCGTCGTCTCTTAGAATCCAGTTAATCTCCTTTATGGCTTGACGGTATAGTGTTTTATCAAAAAAGATTTAGATACATTAGGGGTGTTCACATAGGTCATACTGGAAGAACATTTAAAGCATGCATAAAAAATCATAGGAACAATTTCGAGAATGGAAAAATAAATACAACAAACGCTACTCACCTCCTTACAGAGGAGAACAAGTTCAATCATGAATTCAAACTTGAACTTCTTTAAAGTTTAGATATCAATAAATACGAAAATTCTCAATACCTAATGAACGATAAAATTGAGTTCAATAATAATGATAATAATGTTTATTCACAATTTTTTATACAATTGGGTATATAAGGTAAGTCAGTTACAGTAAAAGCCCACAACTTTAGTGAACATTTCACACCATTTACAAACATCGAACTTAAATAAAATCATGACCACTGTGATTTTGATTGCTTTTGAGATTGTCAGTCAAAAGATCTTGGTAACTGTAATAGCATCTTTCTAAAAAAATATTTTTAATACAATCATGGAATACTTTGTCACTTGTAATTTTTTAACTTCATTTGGCAGCTTGAAGCACGTAATGGCATTATATAGCTCCTTCTTACTTAATATGTTCTTACCAGATAATAATGTAGATCATAGCAATGTTTCAATCTAAAAGTAGTTAATCAAAGCCCGCTTGAGAAAGCTGTTGTATAACTGAACACGTGTCACAGTTTTGTAAATCTTCTATATTGAAAATCAAAATAAATCTCATTAGTATCAACAAGTTCTATCCAGTGTTTCAGTTCCATTAAAAATATTGGAGTACAAATTAAACAAGAATGTGTTCTGTATAATTCAGTATTCTCGTATTTCAAAGTGGTTATTTGAGATGGATCGTTTTCTTTGGGGTCGTATCTGAAAGAAAATTCTATGCATGATCTACACATCTTTGTGTTCGAGATGTACAATCTACAATCTTCAAGAAAAATAAAGAATTGCCAAAGTGACATTTCTAGGAAGCATTAAATTTAATAATAGGTTGTTTCAAGAGTTTTGCCAGTTTTCATGAGTCTACTTTAAACTGTAATATCTCAGTGAATATTTATTCAATTCAATCAAAGTAAGCGTCATTTGAATCACTGCACTTTTGCCAACGTAACACAAGTCGATGAATTCCATCAGCTTAAAAATTGTGTGCTCGGGATTCGATAAAATCGACGAAGGCCGTTATTGCCTCGTCCTGATTGGCAAAGATTCTACCGGCGAGAAAGTAACCGAAGTATTCGAAAAGATAGTAGTCAGTTGGCGAGAGGTCTGGGGAATATGGTGGGTGAGACAAAACTTTGACGCTCAATTCGCTTAATTTTCGGACCGTGATTTGCGAAACGTGCGGAACGGCGTTGTCGTGGAGCAGGATCGGACCTCTTCTGTTGACCAGTGCAATTCTTGGTACCCTTCATCGATTTCCTCACAATAGCACTCTGCTGTAATGGTCTGAACCGGTAGCAAAAAGTTATAATGAATCACACCAGCTGCTGACCACCATACAGTAACCGTAGTCTCTTTTGGTGGGTTTTTGCCTTTGGAAAGTGCCTCAGTGGCTCATCGGTGTCCAACCACTGTCCTGAACGTCTCCTGTTGTAGATCCGTGACGTGACGATCCGTTCCAAAAAAAGGTCGTTTTGGTTGCGCAAAGGCAAAGGACAGACCTCGAAAAGTAACAGCGGCGGCTCATCAGAGGAGGCTTAGCCTCCCCATAAAATTTGAGACTATTCATCGCAACAAATTAAAAGATATTGACAAATAATTATGATTATTTTTTTCTAAAAATGCTTGGGTATCATTACTTTACCATCAAGTTCTAATATAAATACATAATATGCCCGAAAAAACACTATTACCCACTACGTAGTACGTATCACACTGTATCCTGCATCAACAAACCTCAAACGCACCGCCCACCCACGAACGAAGAACTGAGAAACCATCAACCCGAAATAATAAATGCCATACGTTGATACGTTGCAAGGGAGCCAAGCCTCCGACCGCTTTAAAAAACACAAGCTCCGCGAGACCGATCCAGCCAACGACATACGTCCCGATTTGTAATTTCAGTTGCAGTGTAGGGGTGCGACAGCTGGTTAACGAAAAAACAGATTTATTTTTTTCAAACAGAATTGATAAATGTAACAAATAATTGGGACTATTGTTCCTTCTAGCACCAACTGAAGTTGAAGACTGGAAAAAAATGCAATACAAAACGAACGCAAAACAATGTATTGTTTCCTGGAGACTTGGGGAAAAAATAATTTTTTCTGTGCGACATTCGAATTATAATACCTAGATGTCACCTACTGCGTGATCCCCTCGAATAAAGCATTCAATTTTTTCCTTTCTTAGGAAAATGTTTTTCCCCAAGGATCTTTGGATGTTTCCAGAAGTCGAATAGAAATTCAAAACAAATTATGAGGGTATCGAAGCTGTGTAGGCATTCTGCAAGGAGATCAAGAAAGATAGGTGTAATTGCTTGAGTTTACAAAAGTGGAGAGAATGGCAATGAAAACAACAAAAAACTTTTATGATATTTATTTCATAAAAAATTATCAATGAAATATATAATAGATCAATTTCTAAGGCATCTAACAGGTCACAGATATTCAACATAAAATCAAGAATTAATAAAACAACAAATAAATGATTATTAATCATTACAAACTCTGGGGAATGCAACTGTAAACTTACAATAATTAAAGAACAAGTGTTGAGAAAAGTACAACTGAATGTCACTCAGGATATACTTTCTGCACACTTGAGTACTTATCTAGAGCTATATTAATATTACAGTAGATTTGGTGTTCGTGTTTCACATTCAGACAGTTTAATACTAAAAACATACTCAATATGAAATGATACAGTTGAAGTACAGGTTCGTGAAAGAAAGTTAATGAAGGGAGAGTTGAAACAAAGCAGAAAATTTCGACCTCATGTCGAACTGGTATGCTGCAACTTTTAGGGAAAAAAATAAATTGAAATCTCATGAAGCGTTTACATTTCCTATTTTACAGAAAAATGGAAGGAATTATTGAAACGTATATGCTTGTAACTACTTCAATGTCGTTTTCAACTTGGTAGAAGGATTATTGTGATCCTTATTCATAGTCTAGGTTAAAATACACAAGCTCAACTATAATTTTCTTGATTTTTTTTAGAATTCTGGCCATTTTTATTTCGAACAATAACTGTTTTGGAAGACAGTTTCGAAGAAAACATCACAAGAAATAAAAAATTACAAAAATAAATAAAAATTCGATTGCATTCGTTTTTTATGGGTTCTATAGCTTTTATACATCTAAATATCCAGGAGGGTATTCAAAGGTTTGGTACATCTTGGGCGTAATGCACCAAAACCCTAACTCCTTTCGTAATAGAAAGTTTATTAATTGTTTTCAAGTACAGCATTATGTGGTAACTAACGACAAGTCAGTTCTCAAAACAATCATCAACAGAGGGGTTGTCCTGATTCAAAAAAAGCTGGAGCCATTATATTGAAACTGTTCTCAAAAACAAACGGAAATTAATGCTAGAACTATTAAGCACAAATAATAGCGAAAAGGACGTTTACATTTCAATTGTTTTGGCGCCCAACGAAGGGCTGCAATTATATTCACATCCTAGAAATCTAACCACAGATAATTTTGTATATAGTGAAAAATGTGGCTAGAATTAAAGATAATCTGATACTCCACTCTATAAATCAACCGCTTTTTAATCACTCTCGACCAATTTCTCATAAAACAACCTATTTCTGGGATCAGCAGTGGGATTTTACTGAGCCACATTTAAAATGAGTTGTTTTATTCCGAGGTAGTGAAGATTGTCTAGGTCGATGCATAGATTTCAAAAAGTGAAACCTATAGGGATTGAAAAAACAAATCAGTTTTCAATTTCGAGGCTAAATTTCAGCAAGTTAAATAAAAGATTGTTTCTCTTTGGAGAATCGCAAAAAGTCGATCTTTCAGGTCGAAAATTAAAGAACAATAAATTAAAGAATTTTGTACTAATAACATTCTTACGCGAATCTCTAAAACATAAATGAAACGAATAATAAAATAAATGATACATATATACATAAAAGAGTGTCAATTGAATAAATATATATTTTAAAAACTTAAATTATGTAAAGCTCGATAAAATTTTCAACATACCGTACAAACTCAGATATGTTTTAATGTGAAAACGGAAATTTCATTTGGAGTTACTGCTTCTTGACATTCTTGAAGAACCACTCCGTGAATTTTCTTAGCTGCTGAACAGCAGCGGTCGCCTGATCTTGCAATTTTCTGTTTTCTTCTGTGAGGCGACGTACTTCGTTTTCGAGTGACATTCTCCTGCGGGTTTCTCTGCTCATTTTCGATTCGAGTTCCGCCACATGATTCTGGAGCTCCGGTACACTTGTACTGGAACTAACACTGAAAATTTTCAATATTTACAATGAAACAAAAAGCAAAAATTATTGGAAAAGAAAAGTTTCGGTTTTCTACTTCTCCATCCGAAGTCATCACCCGAAGACGATTGTGGACACTAACAATCGAAACGTCGTGGAGTAACTTGGCTTGAAATCTTTCCATTTTTTATTCTTAAATTTTTCAATTTTCAAATTTTTGCTTGTATTTTATTTTATTGTAATTTCATTCCAGGTTTTTTTGCTGAATATATATTTTCAGCTATTCATTTCGATTTTATTGTTTCCTTCAGGGATTTAAAATCATTTTATATAGTTTGAATCGTACTTATTGTATCGAAAGCAAATTGTAACTCTCAACCGACTCAAATATAGAAGAAATCAAAGCAGGTGTCCCTCAAGGTTCCATCCTAGGACCCATTTTGTTTCTATTGTATATTAATGATATAACACAGACGACACAACGTTGCTGTGGCAGGGGAAAGATCCTACAAAACTAGCTCAAGTTGCCACTGTAGACATGGAAAAAATTAAGAGCTGGTGCGACTCAAATGAGCTTTCTTTAAACTTTGATAAAACCCATCTCCTCAACTTCAAATGTGAACTCCCACCTATTAGTTTGAATAACGACATTCTCGAGATGAAATTGTCCTCCAAATTCTTAAAACTTCACATTGATAATAAGCTTAAATTTGAAGATCATATTATCAAGTTGAATAATAAACTTGCATCTGGCTGCTTTGCAGTGAAGTCAGTTTCGAAGGAACTGGGTAGAACCTTTGCAAGATCTGCGTACTTTGCCTTTGTGGATGCACATTAAAGATATGGTATTGCCCTCTGCCTTCGGTTTACAGAAGCAAGCTGTCCGGTATGTGTGCGGGGCAAATTTCCAGGATCACAGCAAACCATTATTCATCGAACAACGAATTCTGACAATTATATCTCTATTCATTCTTGAAACAGTAAGTCTGATTCATAAAAATATATCTGCTCCTGATGATATAAAGAGCCATACTATAATACACCTCAAGCTAACTTGATCAGATTTCCCCTGCCCACAACAACAATGGTGAAGGACTCATTGATATACAATGGAATAAAGATGTACAACAAAATTCCCATATACCTGAAGAGTTATTCTTTGAATATTTTCAGAAAAAAAATAAGCGACATTCTGATTGCCTATTATAGTTTTGATGAATTTTACAGTGACAACGCTTTTTATGAATTATAGTTTACTACTGTATGTCACTATAATATAGCATATTTTTTTTAAGGACATTTTTTGAATTTTAAATTGTATAGCATTTATTTTGTTTCGTAAAAATGTGTTTGACACCCTATTTTATATAAATGGGCTTTTAGGAATTACTTTTATCCTACTTTGACATAGTTCATAATCGTTTGTCAACAAGAACTCTTTCTTAGAACAATAAACGTATTTCTCTCTCTCTCTATCTATCTTATTAGACAATGGAAGTCCGAACTGATGAAATATACAGTTGTACATAATGGAAAAATCATAAACCATATAATTGAAACACAAACCATTTAAAACTTTGCTCAAATTTTCTAATACGTTATAAAATAAATGTCTGCTTGGTAACATTTCGACAAGTGTGGTTCTGTCCATCAACAAGCGTTTTAACTTCTACTAGCTACTAGAAAACATACTGAATGTTGTTTGTAGAAATGTAAAAAAAAAAACATGTACTTACGAAGAAGTTATCGAAGCATCGATAGGCGTCTCATCATTCCAAAGTCTGTTCGTCTCGCGTTCCTTCATATCTGAAGACGACCCCACTTGGTTCATGAAGCTCGTAGCCGTATCGACCAAACTCGGCCAATCACTGTCTTCCGGCAGAGGAAAATCGTCCGGAAAATTGTGGACGGGCTTCGATTTACTAGATAACGAAGCGTGTGAAGAGCCCTCATCCTGACTTCTCTTAAATTCGATCGGCAGCGGGCTCGAGGTGGTACTAGCATTAGAAATAACTGTAGCGGGTCGAGCCATCGTCAGAATAACCTCCGGCTGCGTCCTGTGAATACTGATGGCGTTATTAAGGTTTTCCCTGGAATGAGTCTTGATTTCCTTGGTCGGTTTCGTTTCCACAGGTGCGTCGATATTATCCGGGTTAATCAACCGTATGAGCTCCTCCTGGAAGTTCGTATTGGACAAGTTGGCGCTGTTGCGATTCGATGACCTAGGGGTAACACCCGGTCGAAGCTTGGCCTCTCCGTTGAGCGACCTAGGGCTCTGGTTCCTGTTTGTGTACCCCGCAGACTGTGACTGTGTTAGATTCGCATGTTTCGTAAGACTGCGGGTTCTGGGAGACATGTTCCCACTACCATTTGACAGCTCATCTTCGCTACCAACTAAGTTCATCCTCTCGCTGATAGAGCTGTTCGTCGAGTGGCTGTCATTGACGGTCAACCTCCCCAGGTCATTGCACTGAATGGACGCGTAGTCCGGGGCACGTGATGTCCTCGAATACATGTGCTCCCCCTCTTGGCGCAGTCGGTCTCCGTGCTGCTTGATCTTGTTGCTCTTCTGTCGCTTGTAAGCGTCCAGCTCGGCGGAGTTGTTGTGTATGACGGCGCTGAGCGGTTGCGAAACGTCTACGTGATGTAAAGGGAGGGAGTTCGTGATGTGCAGCTTGTTGTGTTGTACGGAGTAGTGGGTGTTATGTTGCAGCTGTGAAACCTGGTGGAGGTTGTTACGTTTCGTCGGAGTCGAGAAAGTACTGCTGGCGTGATGCGGAGACTGGTGATTTTTCAGAGGGACAGGGGGAGGTTCGAAGTCTTGGAGGAAGTCATACCATTTGTCGTCGCCCGATTGTCCGCTCGATGAACTGGTCAGAGTGCCCTGGAAATGATTGTTTTATAATTGAGTCACAAGACCTAATTGATGACGATGGATTTTCTCTATGAGCATGCAATATCTCGATAATTTTCTGTGATCCTAATACTATTTTTTGGGTATCGACTGATTGGTCATTAGTCTCCTGTTCTGCGTAGTCAATGTTAATAACTGCTCGAACTACCTAAGGAGCAACATGGCTATTTGCAGTTGTAGAATCATCCCAACTTCAACTAGATAAATTCTCTTGAGAAAAATATCAACTCACTATCTTTCGATCTGGATTTTTATAACTCTGGACATATGATCGCCAACTTTTGTTCAAGAATTTCCTCAGCATTAGAAACTGCTGTGGAGGGAAACTACTAATCGACTATTATAACAAATCTATTTGAGTATAATTTAATTGACAAAGATCTAACAAATACTGAAATATAGTGTGAAACAATTTAATTAATAGAATAGAACAAGTATCTTGAATTAAAAATGAAAAGTCAATTTCATTATATTGCAGAATAGCATTGTATAGTGGGACAGTGTATAGAAATTGCAGAATAAAGGAATGCGTATAATCTTAAGGTGTAACCGATATTATTTTCATGTTGGACTCATTAAAATGATTATCAGTGTCACAGAGATTATACTTGACATGTATGATTTTCATTTTTAAAGTTTCGAATAATAAGTTGATGCCACAATACTTTAATGATTTTTTGTCTTAAACTCATAATCATCAAGACAACTCCACTTACTAAAATACAATGTTACTAAGTCAATGAAATCATTATTTTATAAGGGTTTGAAAGAATACAATGAACTACTCAATCACATTAAAGATGCGAAAACAATTAATGAATTTAAAACTAGTCTTGTTATGCATATAACATGTAATCACTAATATTCGATCCAATATTATATTATATTATCATTATGTATCGATTTATGTTTACAGACCTATGTATATGCTAGTAATGTATTCTTTTGTTATTGATTTTTTCTTTTTTCAATTGTATGTATATTAGGATAAGTTTCCTATTCAATAATGATTCATTCATTCATAAGGTATAAGGGTAATTATTGGCTATAAGTGCAGATAGTTGTTGGTTCACAGATGGATCAAATATACCTTCCGGTTCTGGTGCAGGTGTTTTCAGTCGCAGACTCAGGACAGAAATATCTACCTGCCTAGGAACCTATGCGACTGTATTTCAAGTGGAAATTTACGCTACTGAATTGTGTGCGGAGATATTGGAAAAATCCAACCTCATACACAAGTCAATAAAAATATTCTCGGACAGTCAAGCGGTGTTGGAAGCTTTTGGCTCCTTCCAAGCAACGTCTAAATTGGTAGCAACTTTCCAAAAACGACTCTCTTCGATAGGACAGATTGTCTCTGGTCTGGATTCCTGGCAATACTGGCCTAGAAGACAATGAGGCTGCTGACTCCCTTGCAAAGGAGGTTGCTGCAAGCAGCTTCATCGGACCAGAACCTGTCATTGGCATCGCTTTAAGTTTTGGCAAGAAGATTTATGGACTTCTGGCAGAATCTTCTAGGATCTTCTAGGATCCTAGGCACTCCTAGGCGTTTATTCACCTTTCGAAGCTTGATATCAAACAGTTGTTGGACTATAGTAGGGATAAACTATACTGTCTAACAGGCCTTTTTACAGGTCACTGTCATTTGAATCATCATATGCAGGGACTCGGACTGTTAGAAGACAGTGTATGTGGCCTCTGTTTGGAAAATGTTGAAACAGCAGAGCATATACTTTGTGCCTGTCCCGCCGGGGACCGAATCAGGTTTTTAGAGTTCGGCAGAGCCGTACTCTTACCATATGACCTGAAAGACCACTCACCATACAAACTAATCGGATTCGTTAAGAAGCTGGGTTTAATTGATCGAGTGTGAATAGGGGTGAGCCACAATAAACCCTTGCGGGTTACGATGGAGAGTCGAATAGACCCACTCACTTTGGACCTAACCTAACCTAATTATTGGCTATCCATAAAAGATTGACTGTTCTATTATTCATTTTTATTTTCAGAATAGTAACTACAAAACCCCCCTCGTACTTCATCCAACAAAGTCTTAATTCCATAGAGAGCTCTTACATTTTAATCAACTTTCTGGTAAAATATAATGTGGCAAATTATGTACATTCTGCTTGTAAGTTTCAATCAAAAAAAGGTATTGGTACAAGTTGACATTTGTAGTAATGTATATGAGGATTCCTATTTTTCACAATTACGCAATGGGGAATGTTCCTCAATTTGGGTTATTACAGCAAATGCAAGTTTGAACAAAATAAAGTTGAGTTTAATTCATGAGTGTTTCAAATTGACTTCGAAAAGTATTCAAATTGATGTTTCAAATGTTGGATTTTAATTTTTAAAGGGATTTGTTTCTAATTTACATATTGGCACCTAGCGCCTAGAATGCTACATCGGAGTTCAGATTACCTAGATATTCTACTTTAAAAAAGGAAAATAATCTTTATAAATCAACAATTAAGGCAAAATATAAATTATAGTTCAATACCACCTCCACAAGCCACATAAACAACAGTTGTTTTGTTATTTATTTATATAGAGGAAGATAGGTTAGGTGCACAAAATGTCATATGTCACAGAATGTCTCGGAACTCGAAACATAAGTAAACAGAACAGCACGCCTCTGAAATATGCCATCTTTGTTTGTCTCATACAGGTAACAGATTCATTGTCCTTTATTAGCTATAACCGATGTTGCCAAATGATGAAATAGAAACAAATCCTTTTATATGTTGAATGCATTATTTCATTCCTCTTTTTTGAGTATTTGAATAATTTTTTAAAGAAAAAGGTTGAAATGATAAGTTTGAAATGCGATTTTCAGATCTCTTTTATGAAAACTACTTGATTTTCGTCAGGAGGAACATTCCCCATTATTCAATCACATTTCCATACATTTTATTGCCACTATTGGTTTGAAAATTATTGCATTTTCTTGCCAAACTGGAGAACGGAGACTTTCGAAAGCAAAAATGAAGCAACATTACTGCACGGCATTACATATGAGATATTTTTATATCTCCAACAAAGCAGTGTAAACTGTACCAACATCTTCAAAGTTGTGTATTGAACAAGACATGACATTAAAATGGTACTAGTGTGGCCCTGTCATCTACAAAAAGATGATTATGTTTATCTATCGTTATTGTGGACCAGAGAAAATGTTCCATCTGCTTCACCTGCACATATGAGTGCGACATTGACAGATTTTGTGATCAGTTATGAGCCCAGTCAACAGTTAAAAAGTGTAAGTACAAGAATTACACCTGATTGAAAAACACCCAAAAGTAAAGATACTTCAACCACAGTGAAAACGAAAGATCTCAGGAATTGTCTGAAAATTAAAGATTTTCATCTGAAGACCAGAATAAAAAAATGTAAGTGAAAAAATTCTTTAAGGATATTAAGGCGCTATCAATTAGATTGTTGTTCTAGTTTTATTGATCCATTGAGCAACAGGAGTTTCTCAAATGAATGATTCAATTCTCCCTAGATTTTCGATCCCTTATGTTTTCGCAAAAATTTTTATTCGAATATTTCAGGCCTCAAATCCAATTTTTTCTGTTGAATATAAGGAAAAGTAAAAAACAAAGACTAAATCTAATGACAATTCTGAGTAGTTTTCTGTGTCTTCTAGTAAGACACTACGTAGTGTAGCAAAGTTTTTTCTTTTCAATTTCTTTCTGTTCGTCTCTGATTTCCAAGAGAGTGTTCGAATTCTCTTCTGCCTTCTTTACTGCAGGTTTGTTTCAACATGGTCTGACCAATCCACACACCTTTTAGATCTTTTGCTGCAAGGACTATTTAATTTGCAGTTTTTTATACATGCTCAAAATACTATATAGTAAGACACTACGTAGTGTAGCAAAGTTTTTTCTTTTCAATATCTTTCTGTTCGTCTCTGATTTCCAAGAGAGTGTTCGAATTCTCTTCTGCCTTCTTCACAGCAGGTTTCAACATGGTCTGACCAATCCACACACCTTTTAGATATTTTGCTGCAAGGGCTATTTAATTTGCCTCGTCAGTGTTTTATACATGCTCAAAATACTATCAATTTCGTCTTCTTCTTCTTTCAGTACTTTTCATTCACTCGTTTATTGGTTCAACTTTCTTTTTCCTCAGTTCTCTTGCTTCTTTCTTCCTAGCCTGTTAATTTTCTTCTCAACTTCCTTTTTTTTTCCAGCCTAGCAATAAACGTTTTATTGTCGTTGATCCTTTTTTAAGAAAATAATGGTCACATTGTGTACCACTTCATCAGAGTGCTTTAAGCCATCTTCAATAAAATCCATTGTGAAAATACTGGAAGCAGTGAATCATTCTGGAAGGGATGAAGAAGACGAGTAGACTATTTCAGAGAAAATGGAGGTGGATAATCTTCCAGAAACAAGATATACTGGCAGCCTTGCAGAGAGCAGTCAGTTTAATTTAAACATTACAGCAATAATGAGCGAAGTAAACCAGTGAAATAATTGAGTGAAGTGTTACAGCAGCGTTTTTAAGTATGTCACTTATTGAAAAGCCCTGAAACAATTAACCAACCACCAAGGTGTCAATATGATACCTTGTAGCTCGTGTTCTCTAATCAATTGTAATTTTTCAAACGAGAAAATTATTACTCTGAAATTTTCCAACCTCCATATGGTACCCTTCAACACTCAATCAGAGATTAACCTTTATATATCATCAAATTGAATTGATATTCATACAAGTTACCATCTACTACGAATGATGCCGCTAACCAGTCACTTAAGCTTTCAAGCTAAGCTAGTTGACTCTATTCGGATGTGATTCTCTACTAATTCTACTGCTAAACAATCTAAAGATGAAACTAGTAAGCGATTCTAATGATTGGAACATCTACAACTAATTTCTCTAGAGTTACTTACAATAATCCCAGTCAGTAATGAGCTACACAAAGTAAGAAAATCAAAGATATAACTCCTCTACCTATGGTTAACAAGATAAATGTGGTCACGTTTCATCTGTCAACGAATTTGTCAGCCACTTTCAATGGTTTGTCCGATAACTACCTTTTTAATTGAACGTTTAAATTTAGTCATAGAGAATTGGAAAAAACTTGAGTTAGTATTCGATTGATTTAAGAGCAAACAGTAGTGTGTCATCACACAACTGCCCACCTCGATTTGTAGGCGTAAAGATGTAAAATGGTGAGGATATGACAACTCTGTTAATAAATGCCTGTTTAAAAATACCTAACTTCTGTTGTGGAGATAGGTACTATGTTTTTCAAATATAGTACTCACTTATAAACATTCAATGGTACCAAATACAAATCTTTCTTTAATTTACTATAATGTGTTTTGTGACCTTGCTAAGGCATTCGACTGCGTAAATCACAAAATTCTCTTGAATAAATTGGAAATGTATGGTTTCAGAGATGTAGCGTTGAAATGGTTTCATTCTTATTTGTCAGATCGCACCCAGTCTGTATTAGTTAATAATAAGAGATCTGAACCTCTGTTGGTATCTTGTGGGGTTCCGCAAGGTTCAGTACTCGGTCCACTACTGTTCCTGCTCTTCATAAATGACCTATCTCTCATCAATACGAAAGGAAAAATAACTCTATTTGCTGATGACACTACTATTGTTTGGCACTCAAAAGACAATACTGAACTATATAATAATATATCGGTTGATCTAGACATCGTTAAAAAGTGGTGTGATGCTAACAGNGGGAGAATGTTTACCGTAGTTACAACGATGAAAATCTATTGCAAATGTTTCTGTATTCCTTGTACTTCTAGAAGGAACATGTAAGCCAATTTGTGCTAGCAATGCAGGGCAGTTAATAAGAGAATTTAATGATTGGAATAAGAGTTTTAAGTCAGTTTCCACTCTACGACTACTTAGCTTCATTATATCTGCAACCCTAGGAATATCATCTAATGAATGGTCCTTCAAGGGCATTTTTAACTTGAACGCCAAAAATTTAAGAAATTTATTTTGTACCCGTTCAATGTCGAATGCAGGACTTTCATAGGTGGGTGACCAAATGGAACTACAATAATCTAAGACTGATCTTACCAGGGTGAAATACAGCATTTCTATACATTCAATATCAGAGAAGTCCTTGGAAGTAGGACAAATGAAGCCTAGATATGGGATCCCTTTCTGGGTGGTAAGTAATCAAACTCGACTCGAGTCGATTTTTATTCTGCAGAAAAGGTCATTAAGAATTCTCTGTAAAGCCAGGCGGCGAGATTCTTGTAGGCCTTTGTTTGTAGCAAACAACATATCACTGTATACTCTATTCATTTTAGAAAGTTTGTTCAGTGCATAAACATAGAACAGAACTTCCCTCAATTGTCTCTCATTACACCACACCCTAAATTTAAGTCTTCCCATACCTAACACTACTTTAATTAAACATTCTATATTGTATAATGGGCTCAAGATGTATAATCATCTTCTTGACTATGTAATGTAAATGAAGCATTAGAATCTTTCTACCATATTTTGAATATGTCTTTGTCGTTGTTTGTTTCATGAAAAAAGTTTAAAACTTCTACATATCCTAAATGGTTTAATGCAGATCTAAGATATCTTATAAAAGAGAAAAAAATGGCCCAATGTGTGTGTGTGTGTGTATATATAGATATATGTGTACATACATAAATGTATTTCTAAACTTTGTTAACAAGAATTCTGTTCTTTGGACAATAAAGTTCTTTCTTTCTTTCTTTCTCTCTCTCTCTCTCTCTCTCTCTGTCTCATTACCATAAAACCCAGAACGTATTCAAGAGATTTTCATTAAACATGAGAATAGCAATTCAACATTTGCAAACTCAATCTTTTATTTATTTATTTATTCATTAACGGGTAACATCCAGTTAAGTTTAAGAGATTTCACAATAAATTATATGAATACAATAAATAATTACATCTAACTCACTTGCTAAAAGTAAAACTAATTTATTAATAAAGAATAACAGTGAGAAAATAAATTTACTGAATTGAAGTATTAATTAAATAAATGAATGATTAATATATGGAAAATGCAATAATTGAGGATGTTTATGTTTATATTTATTACCATTTATAATTTATTTCTGAGCGAGCGCAACGCAAACTTAAATTTTGTTTCGTTTAATGAAAAGAAGTCCAGATCGACTTTATTACCACCAATAGCAACTCTAGACAGGGGAGAATGTTTACAGTAGTTACAACGATGAAAATCTATTGCAAATGTTTCTGTATTCCTTGTACTTCTAGAAGGAACATGTAAGCCAATTTGTGCTAGCAATGCAGGGCAGTTAATAAGAGAATTTAATGATTGGAATAAGAGTTTTAAGTCAGTTTCCACTCTACGACTACTTAGCTTCATTATACCTGCAACCCTAGGAATATCATCTAATGAATGGTCCTTCAAGGGCATTTTTAACTTGAACGCCAAAAATTTAAAAAATTTATTTTGTACCCGTTCAATGTTGAATGCAGGACTTTCATAGGTGGGTGACCAAATGGAACTGCAATAATCTAAGACTGATCTTACCAGGGTGAAATACAGCATTTTTATACATTCAATATCAGAGAAGTCCTTGGAAGTAGGACAAATGAAGCCTAGCATTTTTGAAATACTCAGAAATAAATAGGTTCAAGAACTGAGAACATCTGCTCAACAATCAAATATAATTCAATAATTCTTATTCGAAGTTGTTTACTTATGATGAAAGACTTGAAGATTTTAGGTAGAGTTTGTCCCTTGTAGTCACTTTGTTTCATGTCCATTTCAATGAGTTTTATTCTAGAATGGTTGAAATTATTAGCAATTAAGTGGGTAGCAGAAGTTATAATAATTCAAGTTATTGATTAAGGACTAACTTCAGATAAAACTGTCTATTATTGATTAGTAGAATCACATCTAAGATATGGGATCCCTTTCTGAAGGGTAAGTAATCAAACTCGACTCGATTTTTATTCTGCAGAAAGGTCATTAAGATTTCTCTGTAAAGCCAGGCGGCGAGATTCTTGTAGGCCTTTGTTTGTAGCAAACATGTACCGAAAAACGTTGACAGATGAAACTTTCCAACCGCAACTTCTCAAGCGATGCAGAATGCAGAACCAATAGCATACCGCGGTTCGGCAACTCGCAAGCGCGGTTTCCACCTTACCAAAGCCTATCATCGGCACAATACCTTAACCAACCAGACAAAAAACTTACCTCCACGTTCGCTACGAACCGCGTCTCGGGCCCGTGAAACGACTTGCTGCTGCTGCCGGTACCGTACCCGGAACTGTTGCTACTTCTCGGAGGACTGAAACTCCTGTCGTAAAACTTCCTATGATTCCCGAAGACGGCCTGCTGCATCTGCGGCGCGCGCCTGCTCTTGTTCTCCTCGTTGCCTGCGTTGTCGTAGTCGCCTTCGTAGTTCGCCTCGTTGTATTTGCAGTTCTGCAGCGTGCAGCCCTTACGGGGCGAACCGTCAGGAAGAGGGGGTATCACAGTCAATATAACGGTTATGGACGTCTTGAGTAGGTCGACCATTTGGTCGTGGGTCAGTGTCGCGACGGCCACCTTGCAGATTTCTACTAGCCGGGAATTTTGACGCAGGCCGGCTTGCCAAGCCTGTCCGGCGCTTTCTACCAAAGTTACGATTCCGTCCGGTTGAACGTGGAAACCTAGCTGACCCATGATGTTGCGGCTGAAATTTTTTCTTTATTAAAAAATACAAAACATTGATCAACCGTTCGAAATGAATTTTATAGAAAAATATAATCTCGTAAAAAATATGGTGCCTCTTTAGGGCAAATAAGATTTTCAGTAATAATTCATCATGAAAACTGTAGATCCAAATAAAAAAAATCAATAACAACTAGGTAGGTGAGAGTCTATTTGACCAAATAAATCCAGCTCCTTAATGAAGCTGATTACTCTATTTGCCGAGTGATCATTTGAATCAGTTGGCAAGAGTGGGACTCTACTAAAAGATGAAATCTTGATCCAGCCCACGGCGGAGCAGGCAACCGAAACCTTAAGTTCTTAGTGAAGAAAAATCCCCTCTATTGTACATGCGTACTACCTTTGTCAAATAAGTGACTTGGGAAGGAGGTTATCTGTGACATATTTCAGGAAGACACTCTCCCATAGTTGCAGGTTCCTAGGTTTGATCAAGAGTTGGAGAATTGAAAAGCTACTGCTCTCAACTCAATGTAAGAGGGAGGTCAGTTGGGGTCGTTTGACATACCTCCATCTCTTCTGTAAACTCAGCTCAAAAGCTGAAGAATTGAGAAGCTATCTCTTGAACCTTTGCTACAAGGAAGACAGTTGAAATCGTTTGACCAACCTCCATCTCCTTCGTAAGCTCAGCTCAAAAGCTGGAGAACTGAGATCTTTCTCTCAATCCTTTGTTACAGTGAGGACGGTTGAAGTCGTTTGATCAAAGGCTGGAGAAATGAGAAGCTCTTTCTCTCGATACTTTGTTACAGTGAAGAAAGTTAGGGTCTTTTAGTCGACGTCCATCTTCTCTATAGAACCAGGTTATTTGAAGGACTGCTAAGGTAGACTTCTAGGTTTGTTCAAGCGTTGGAGAACTGAGTAACTCCTGGTCTTGAACTGATGTTACAGGGATGATAGTTGATCAACCCTCATCTTCTCTGTAAGCTCAGCTCAAAAGCTGGAAAACTGAGAGAATCTTTCTCTTGCTCCTTTGTTACAGGTAGGACAGTTAGGGTCGTCTAGTTGACGTTTCATGTCCTCCGTAGATCCTGTTACACAACCGTCGGAAATTAGTAGATGGTCATAATAATCAAACCCACCAAATCTGAAGAAAGAAGGTGTGCAAAATTCGTTGACAGTAGATTTTGTCTCCTACAGAACGTTTGACATTTACTCGGTCACCATGCCTATAAACGTGTGACTCCTAGCACGGGCGTATAAATGCAAATGAGTAATAATTGTCCACCCATAGGCCTCTTTTATACACGAGCAGTTGTGCGGTTTGCAGTCGAACGGCATAAAACGCTCAAAAATTATTTATGTAGGAGCAAGTGCTTCCTTTTATGCAGTTGCGGTCAAGAAGTATGCGGTCGGATGTGGCAAAAGTGCGGTTGTCCGTCTAATCATGCCGTCGAAAATATAGATTTGGACCGCAGACGCGCCACATTTTGTGATTATAAACTTTAAAATACACGTACCCAGATGGAGGTTTTTATGCAGACGTTCAACGTTTTTGTTGGCGTCATTCGCTCTGTTTCCATCCCCCGAGTCCGAGTGAATAGTTTTGAAAATGAGTTCAGACGGGGCAGACCTCAACACAAGAACAGTTTATTTATTTATTTACGGCAATGCCTATTTTTTTTACAAGATAATTAACAAGTTCACATATATGTATTTATTTATTTATTTATTTATTTATTCAACTAACGGGCAGCACCCAATATACAAATATGTTTTTATAAAGGTGTACATAAATACTTATGATTAAGATCCATATTAAAATTAAACCTAAGAGAAATAAAAACTAAGATTAAACCCAAAGGCAATGAATGATTGCAGTGAGATACATTTATATATATACATGTGCACATCTATGTATTGTTTTTTAGAAGTGATGGCAAACTTCGTTTCAAGCTACTTTCAGAGATATTGAACAAATCTACTTGAATATCATTCGCATTCAATACAATCCTAGATAATGGTGAGTGTTTTCCATAATTGCATCTATGGAAATCAATTGCAAACGTCTGAGTGTTTCGAGTTACTCTGGCTGGAACATGTAAACCAATTTTGGACAAGAGGTATGGACAGTCAATATTGTTATTCAAAATCTTATGTAGAAATCTGATGTCTGCACAAACTCTACGAGTACTCAGTTTTACTATTTCTGTTATAGCACGAACTTCACTAAGTGTGTTTTCAGTTAAAGGTATATTCAATTTATAAGCTAGAAATCTTAAAAATTTGTTCTGAGTTTTTTCTATTTTATTAATATGTATTTCATATGTTGGCGACCACACACATGAACAGTACTCCAATATTGATCTGACCAAAGAGTAATAAAGAGTTCTGATGGAGTTGACATTAGTGAATTCTCTTGTGGTCCTGCACACAAAGCCCAGCATTTTTGTCGCACTATTCACAACCTGTTCATAGTGAAGATGGAAATCAACCTTGGTGTCAAAAAGAACACCTAGGTCCCGAACAATGTTTGCTTTTGTGAGGGGTTTGCCATCAATGTTATAATCAAATTCAATATGTTCAATTGATCGATAAAATGACATAGCATTGCATTTATTTACATTCAGCTCCATGTAGTTTTCGGAGCACCATTTGACAATTGCGGTGAGGTCCCTTTGAACGTTCTCACANGAGTTTTCTGGACAATCAACATTCAGACCAAGCTCTCCATTAAACCAAAATGCGTCGGGTATATTATAGTCACCACAAAGGATTATTGAGGAAATCAGATGTCGGACGGCTATTTGGGATGTGTAAATGTAGATTTTACTGAGAATTTTACAACTGCAAGGAACCTATTAGGAATAAATATGCTTTCTTGCAGAAAATATACCAAAAAAACGACCGACTACAAATATACCTACCAGAGGTATACCCAAAAATGTTTTACAATATTTAGAATAGGCTTCTGTTGATCACTAAACGGATACTTTATTGTTCATGTAATTTTTATATTTTATCAGGCAACTGAACCCGCAGAACTTACAAAATAGTCTGTCAAATCATGTCTAACACTGTACCCTGAAGAGGCATAAGCCTATAGCAGGGCCCCACACAAACACACCTACACAAATGAAATGTATCATTATTTAAAATTTTGAATAAACGATTTTCATTCGTTCGTCTAACACTGTAAGCTTGTTTTTTTTTTTCGGAATGCCCCATCGATAGATCGTGATCTTTGAAAACTATGGACAGCCCTCCATCTTTGTCTTCTTTTCTTTTTGCGATATATTAATAAATGATACAAGACGCACAGATCCATTCTATTTCTCTTGCCTTTAAAGCACAAACAAGTGCCGAAGTTAAACTTCATTGAAACTTTTCGAAAAAAAAAAGTTTCCCATATGGTGCGCACTTTAATGGTGACACTGTATGTTTTTTTACTTCAATCATATCATTGAAAGGCTGGATGGTTAAGATTTTCCAGTGAATTATTGACTAAAGCATACAAAAGCAATTGAATGGATACCGTCTTCTACTCAAATCCAACAAAAACTGAAAAACATTTCCAAGTATGATCGAGGCATTTGTTCAATAGTTTTCATTTGATCTGAGCAGAGGCAAAAAACTTGAATAAAACAGGCCAATACCAATTAATCAAGTATGAAATTTTGTGAGTTTTTGTTAAAATGTGAATGAAGAAAAATAAGATGAAATTTCGCGGGCTACGCACATTCAATTATCGATTTTTTTTATGTTGATGCACCCATCTCTAACATATGTACACAGTTTCTTAGCATGTTTAGTTTGTTGGTGAGAGGCACAAAAGTTAGAAGTGTTTTGCGTTTTCGGTGATTTTCTGCTATCAAAAAAGTTGTTCAAATTTGCATTGTGAAAAAACGGAAGTAGATGCCCTAAAACACTTGAATTGTTGACAGTGGCAAACGGTGATTGTACTCTTGAGTCAGCAAAATGTTTACAAGTGGTACAAACATTTCACAGAGGGTCGAGAAGATGTGAATGACGACGCTCATCATGGACCCCCCAGAACATCAACAACCAATGAAAATGTTGAGAAAGTGAAGAAAATTGTTATGGAGAATCGTCGACTCACTTTAACAGAAACTGTTTGCTTGCAAATCCCGCATGTGGATCGTCATGCACTCTCCTTGGTGGTGGTAGAGCCTGAGGCTGTTCGTCTGCGGCGACCAGCCCAATATCGACTTGCAAGGGGTAACGAAAACGATTTGTTTTGTGGTCTCTTCGATGAGAACAAACGAATCTGAAGAAATTCCGAGGAAGCATTCGATCTGCTGACCTTGTCCACTATCATCTAATAATACTTGCCATAAAATGGCACCTCTTTGGCATAAATCCGGTATGAACCGGGGACGAACTTTTTCTTTTTTTTTGGTACTGAATATAGCTGGAACAAATTTCGATTCTCTAGATTTACTTCGTCTGGATATGGAGAGACAGTTAATAAAAGCTTTTTTCGCACTAGTGCCGAGAAAACGTTGAGAGTTACATACCAAGTAGAGTATTCAACAGGTTTATTATTTATAGTAAATGTTTTTTTACTTCAATCATATCATTGAAAGGCTGGATGGTTAAAATTTTCCAGTGAATTACTGACTAAAGCACACAAAAGCAATTGAATGGATACCGTCTTCTAC